CTTTGCAGACAACAATGAGTGCTCCGGTCAGAACAGTGCGTGTGGTTCCCGGGCCTCTTGTGTCAACACGCCTGGTAGCTTCAACTGTGAATGCACCAAAGGTTTCTCCTTGGACAACACAGGAGCGGAGTGTGAGGGTGAGCAGACACAGAAACCTTTACATTTAGTGAGAAGAAGGTCTCTCACACAGGGGCCTTTTCAATTCCAAAATCACGGGAACATGGATGAAGTTCTGCCGACGCGTTTGTGATCAAAGGTGGTAGCAAATAGTGGTTGCACCAATTTGAAACCAATTTGCAATTAAAACTCATCATTTCCGTGTTCCACAGATGTGGACGAGTGTGGCAGTAACCATCGCTGTCAGCACGGCTGTCAGAACATGATGGGAGGTTTCCGTTGCGGCTGTCCTCAGGGCTACGTGCAGCACTACCAGTGGAACCAGTGTGTGGGTGAGTTATCGACTCAGTCTGCGAGTTTGTCATGTTGACAGTAATGAACAACAAAGGCACCAGTACACAGTAGTAAAGAGGACCTGGGGGATTTATTAAGGTTGAAGTATCTTAAAGCTGCAACAATTTGTTAATCTACAGTATAATTTAATATGCTATAGATTAAAATATTTATAGTTTAATACATGTATTTTCTTAATACATATAAGAAAATACATAGGAATAATACATATACTTTCTTGATTGATCTGATTTCATTTTGACAATAAAATAGCTATACATGTCTACTGTTTTATAGATTTCTATATTCGTTCCTGGTCATTTCATGTTACTATATTACTATTTGCAATCATTTGTATAAATGAATCCTCTGAAGTACTGTGCAGAACAACATGAAACCGGACAGAATTATACTAAAGCATTTGTTTCAGGAGTAATTTGAAAGCATGTTTCTGTTAACATTTTGAAGTAAGAATGTTCTAAAGATGATCATCTCATGATGATATAGGCAGTAATGTTGAATTATCATCATCAACATCCAAAAGAAATGTCACCAGATATGTACTGTATCCTAACACGCTCTCTGCGCTTTTTTTTGTCTTTTCCTCCACAGATGAAAATGAGTGTCAGGCATCAACAGTGTGTGGCTCTGCCTCCTGCTACAACACGCTGGGCAGCTTCAAGTGTGTGTGTCCCTCTGGCTTTGACTTTGAGCAGGGCGCTGGTGGCTGCCAAGATGTGAATGAATGCAGCAAGAGCGCCAACCCCTGTATCTACGGCTGCTCCAATACCGACGGAGGCTACCTGTGTGGCTGTCCTGGAGGTTTCTACAGAGCCGGACAGGGGTGAGGGAACAGCCATTAAACAGATCATTGCAAACAACTGGTATTTCTAGAGTAAATACTGGTGTCACTGAAAATATTTTTGAGTAATTCCTGGTGGCACCACCAAGAAAACATTTTACCATGTTTCATGTGCTGAGAGTTTTGCTCCTGAATTTGAAATAAACTTCCATCCCTCTTAATCAACATGCTAAACTCTCTTGTCGTTTCCATCCAGTCACTGTATGACAGGCTCAGGCTTCCCGGCCCAGTTTGAGGAGGGCGATCAAGATGATAGTCTGTCTCCTGAGGCCTGCTATGAGTGTAAGATCAACGGAGGAGGAAAGAACGGACGACACAAACGCAATGCTGACGAAAATCAGCTCAACCAGGTAACTGTGTCGACAAACTGCTTCTCGGTGCTTGTCGCATTGGGTATGACAATTCACAATAAGTGTGCTCGGATTTATATAAAATCAGTTGTTGAGGTCTGTATCTTCTGCTACCTCGTGTTTCATCTCATCCCTTCTGTCCCTTTCCTCGCTATAGGAACCAGCAGTGAGCATGGCCAGCATAGACACCCGGGCCTCCATCCCCATGAACCTTTCTCTGTCCTCGCTGCACAACAAGGAGCCTCTGCTAGAGTTTCTGCCGGCCCTGCAGCCCCTGGAGCACCATGTACGCTATGTCATCACTCACGGCAACACTAATGAACACTTCCGCCTGCTGGAACGACGCGACGGAAAGAGTGTGCTCCGGCTTGGCAAGAGGCCGCCTCCAGCAGGATCCTACTGGCTAGAGATCGCCAGCCTGCGGCTGTTTGGGCCCCGAAGACTACACCAGCTGGAGGAGCAGCACGACAGTGACTACCTACAAGGGGAAATGGGAGACACCCTGCGCATCAAGCTCCTCATCCACCTGCACTGAGCTCAGGGCACGCTTACAATCCTGTTCTGGACTGATTCCTAAAGCCTTTGAGTTTTAACCTTCCCTTTTATCCAATAACTCCTCCCCTGCAGGACCATCCTCACCAACAGGGGTAATCAAGGGCTATGAAAGACTGAGTCAATCGGCCCAACTCTACCACCACTTTGTTACTGTTTATGTTATTATATGTTCATGTTTGGTTTGTTGTTTTTTTTACCCCTTACACTCCCCCTCCACTTGTATCCGACCCAGCACTCATTCTCTATTGAGAGAGCCAGCCGAGGAGATGGCCGAGAGGTGCCCTAGTGCTTGGACCACAGTCCTCTAATAAAGACAAAATGGCAGACAGGTGGTTCACAAGTCCATGAAGCACTTTTGTAGACATGCAAAACAAGGAATTACACAGAAACAGAAATGAAGTGCTGAGAGTGGCCAAAACTGTCTTGTTGCAACTTGTGTTGTAGTATTAAAATCACATGCCGGATATTAAGTGATGTCTTTCTGTTTAGTGATATTACGCCTTAATATAAGGGGTTAGATGCCATCATGGTGGTCCAAGGACTTTCTCACCTCTCTGTGATCACAACACTGGGGACAAGGTTTCTCACGTCTGCCCCTCTCAGTATTGTAGTGTGTCATTTAATGTATTTGTGCTGTTTGAAAAATGTTAACACGAAGGACTGCAACATTTACACAGCATTTCAGGTTCTTTGGTCCATAGCGCTCTGTTTTATAGCTGGATGACAACTCATTTTTAGACGAGAGAACAGCGAGCTGGGTTCTACTCTGATGTAACTGACTTCTGTCCTGCCTGCGGGGCAGCGGCAAGCAGGGATTAGCGTGTTTGCGTGTGTGTGCTGTCATGTTTGGTTATCTCAGTACTTCTCACAGAGTGTGGACACCATGCTGTGATGCTGACTTTAAAAGAAAAGAGAGGGCTAGTGTCGCTCAGCATGCATCATGAGCAGGGAAATACACCTGCTAGTAGCTTTTAGACGTAAAAGAAGATAGATCAGGTCACGTTGTATTTATCCTTGTAGGGATTAAGACTTCAGGTGCACTGATTCTCGACCTGAGAGACAGCTTTTTCCTTAAGTCCAAAGTTTTTTCCGCTTGTTGGCTGTCAGAGGCTTGTTGCTTCTGCTGGGTTTTGCATTTTTCAAACAAATTTCTGGACATAAATGCTTCAGAGTAACAGAGCTGTAGCTGACAGCCCGTGTTGGGAGGCTGAACTTGACTATAAGCTGACTTTATCTGACTTCTTTGACTTGAGCTTGATGGCTGAGGTCCGAGCCTCGTTTACAACACAAAGAGACACACAGCTGAATTGAGTAACGGTCTCAAAGGTACAAGACATGTTAGCCTAAGCTGTAACTAAAGGCGGTGCTTTACAGTGTAGGCACGCACAGGTGAACACGAAACCTCACAAAAAAACTAATGTCCATCAGGTCATCCTTCATTTCTCGTGATTTTTTTTTTTCTCTCAAAGAGAAATACGGTGCTAGATAATACCATCTCATACGCTGTACAAAGAAAGTGCAGTCTTGAATCGGGATTGCAAAATGTGCTTTCTTTTTTGCTAGGATTTATTTTTATTATGTATGTCTGTCTTTTGTATTGTCTCAGTGCTGAAAAAAAACAATATTATCAAACTTCCTTCTTGAAAATGAAATTGTATATTTTTAAGCGAAATGTAGATGTTTTTTTTTTTAAATGCCAAGGCTGCCGAAACAAATGCTTACAGTAAAACCCAATATTGAAGGCCTTTATGTGCTGTCGACTTTGTTTTGTTGAGAAAAAAAAAAGAAGCAAAACCAACACAAAGTAAACGCAACGTTGTATTTGTTTGTATTGTTTGAAACCACTGTCACCATTCAAATCAGTTGTCAGCAAATGAAATAAGAACACGTCAGACTTGAAGATAATTACCATTCCCATCATCTATTATCTCATACAAGCTTACACTGTCTGTACAATGCCATGAGGATCAATGACCATCTCCAGCTCGGATCTATGGTGCTGAACAATAATCCTTCTCTCTTAACAGTCAAGGTTGCTGCACTGCCCCACAGCCTAAGCAATGTTTATAATACATAACCATTTTTCTAACCTGGGACCCTTTGTATACTTTGTATCTTTGTCGGTTTGTAATTTTTCTTTTATTTGCCACTATGTTTAAAAAAGGCAGTGCTTTGCGTGTGCTCAGCGTCAGTGTCAAACTTGAAACGATAATGTCGTCGTCATCTGCTTGCATTGAAATGTCTGCTTTACACTTTAGAAATAAGGAGCCTGTTTTAGTTCAATTGTCCACCATAAGCCCGACACTTGTTGATACCAGAGTCCAGCTGAAAGCTGAAATGACAATCATCCAGTCGCACCATATCTACCAGCTGACGATCAATAAATCAATCAGCCATCATGGAACATCTTTTAATATGCTGAATGATCATCATTTTTGTGCAAAGTCAAAAACCAAAGATTTATAACACCAAATGGTCTGTAAAATTAGAGTGATTCACATAATATTGTAAACTTTTGTCCAGTGACATTAACGGCAATAAAGTATTGTGGGGTATATTTTTAAGTCTTGTGTCCTGAATTCTTTTCTCCTGGACTTGTGTGTAAATATCGACGGCTAACAAAAGTGACACATAAGTAGTAATCATTTTATTTAATGTACAACATGAACAATGTGGACTTTCCACACAGTCCACCTCTCAGTGGAAATTAGGAAGAAGAAAATCCTTCTTTTTTTTTCATTTTCGCTGATTTAACACTGTGTATAAAAAACACAAAGCAGATAGTCAGAAAAATATTTAATTACAAAACACAAGAATAGCAAAGCTACCTGCTTTGCCTCTCTACGCTGTGGCTGCATGACTACCTCAAAAATCCACAGTCTAAAGATTGATACAGGAAGTAGGAAGATGGCAGAAAGGAGACTCCCAAACTTGAGTCAAGAATAGAAAAATAAAGCTTTCTTTTGCCTAAAGGTTGCCGTTTGCTCCGTCACCACACTTGGCAGGCTGACTAAAGCAAAATACGCAACCAGTGAACATAAACTCTACTTGCTGTAATAAGAGATTATAGTTTCAATATGGCTTTTCAGTTATAGACACTAACACACAAAACATATACATGGATAACATTTTATGGAGACTCAAACTACCTGCTTCTTAAAAAGCATCTGAAACTGCAGTTCTGCTCCAGGATCAGTGTCCAAAGTAAAAAAGAAAAGTGTGAATTTGTGGTCCTTGATCAGCACTTAACACTTTAATAAGGTTTTAGGTTTGTTAAAGGGGCATCTGCTTTAGTGTAAACTCCTTCATTTAAGTTCTGCTCGTGTTCTGTATGTCGAGTGTTCTCATCAGAAATCAAACTATGTGGTGAGCAAAGGTGATCTTCTCAAAATCATATTGTGTTTTAATGCTGGCAAGCTCTGGAGTTTGGAAAACCTAGCCCAAAGATGATGTTGTAGTGTGACATAACATGTTCAATGGGTACAGTAGGTCAGGTTAAGGCAGCTGTGCAGCTCATTATTTCTGTCCTTCATGGTTCAACATTTGGGTGCTTGGCTTGCAGGGATTCCAGTGGTCTGTGTGTCTGTTACTGAACCAGACTTGTTATGCTTACATAGCTTCCTGCAGCCTCATATTTACATCAGTAGACAAGCTGCAATACAGTAATAAAAACCTGGCATACACCAGCATTAGGCACACCCTCCTGTAAAGAGTGCATTCACAATATTATGAATTTGTACAGTCCATTTCCACATCTAAATTGGTTTTAAATATCCCGTCTATGTGCAATGAAACATTCCCCTTTCCACATCAACCTACACCAGTGCATAATCAAACTGGCCCCTCTCCAGCCCCTCCTTGTGGTCAGTCCAGGATGATGCAGGCATGCGGCTATAGGGGTCCAGCAGGATCCTGAAGCACCTGACCAGCAGGAAGACCAGGAAGAGCATGAGGAGGCCTACGAAGGCCAAGGCGGTGCGCTGCTCATTGTCCGCGCCAACCAAGGAGAGAGGGGGGCTGCTGCTGCCACCGCCAGGACTGCCGGGGAGGGAGGAGCTGGTCGGGGACAGCAGCAACTCGTAGTCAAGTGTAGGCACATTGTTCATTCTCCAAGAGGCCCGCAGGCAGGGCTTACACACCGACTGACTGGATGGTTGGTGTATTGGGAGGAGGTGCGGAGAAGGATGAGAAGTTGTTCATGAGGGGTGGCGCAGAAGGAAAGGCCAAACTGGAGATTGGGGAGTTTGATTACAATGCTTAATAACTTAACAAGTTGTATATTGTATTCTCTGTTTGTTGGGTGAAGAGCATGTAGTAGTAGTAGTGTAGTAGTCAGCAGGTAGTTTACAAGTAAGAAGACTGCAGAGCTTTTCTTTCTTATTCGAGTGACCGACCTTAAGGCGCTAATGTTTTTAGAGTGTTTATCAGGGCCACTCTGCCACATCAGCTCTCATTCTCACTCTCAATCGGAGCCGGCAGGACGTGATACTGCCTCCTGCAAATGCAAACACACCAACACGTGTCTGATCACAGTCAAGGTCGGTGTTCTCAATGGGAGTTAATAGTGTTCAGATGGACTTCTAACACCCAATTGGGTATAACTGTGTAAGTGTGTGTCTGGGTGTTGTGTCACTGAACCTGAGCCAGACACAAGGCCATTTAAAGCATCTGCCAGCAACACCAGGTGTGTGTGTGTGTGTGTGTGTGTGTGTGTAATTCAATCAGGAGGTCAGTGGATCAATGGCCCTGACTATAAAACAGTGCATCACCTTTGTGGTGTTAAAACAGGTCCTCAGAAACTGCCTCTCTTGACAAGTCGAGCAGCAACAAGAGGTAGAAAACGAAGATTCTGAGAAGGTTGTTAATTGTCAGTCATAAATGAAAAGTGGCTTCATCCAGTTTGATCTTCAGTCTACTGAATGCAGATTCTGTTGACAGGGCTCTTCGGCAGACATGACAGAGCGTCGTTAACAGGACGTAGTGTCATCAGATGTTCCTCGTTAAGCCGAGCAACCAGGGAGTGACCGCAGCTCCACCCGCTGAAAAGAATAAGAGACATCTGGTTAGACAAACATTTAGATTGATTGACACTAATAAAGCTCTGATGAGGACATTTCATTTTCACAATATAACATCAGTACACAGTAAAATCCCTTCAAAACAGCACTGCACGCATTGCACAACTTTTCCTTTGGGACCGATTGTTTCTAATGCAGAGCATAAGGAGAAGATTAAGTAATTCCTTCCTCATTTCATCATCTGACATGATCATTGTCACCCTTTATTCAATAAGTAACAGTGACATTAGCCATCTGAGGGGAGAACACAGCACCAGCATCCTCTGTAATGACACTCAATTAGTGAGCTGATTATGGTGTCATTACAGCCACATTAGCAGTAATGAATACATGATAATAACCAGTGATACCACATTACATCACCCTCATTTGTCAGTGCACTGTTACACTGGGCCTTTTGTTCAATTGTTGACCCCCTTCATTCATTCGCTCACATGATGGAGGGGAAGACAACGTGTTGTGGAGCCTCATTAATAATCTAAAAATCACATCTCCCCTGGAGGACGTTTCAAATCATTAAAAGGAAACGCAATACGCAAACTATTTTTTTACCTGCTCAAACGTCTGAATGGAGTGGTGACTGGGCTGTTTGCTTGGACAAACGTGATAGCAATAGATATGCAGAGCACTGAGTGTGTGTGGGGGGGGAGATGTTTGGGAGAGACGAAGGTGAGAGGAGGCAGAGAGATGGTTGGCAACAGGAAGAGAGAAGGGACTTCAGGAGGAAATGAACTGAGGTGCAGAGATTTGTTTAGATTTATAACACATTCACAGTGAGTTAGTTATTGTATGGAGAGAGCATTATAAATGCGAGATTAATAAATAAACAGTGGAGTGACTCAATGTATTGAGATACAAATAGGAATGTAGGATGGAAACAAAACAGAGGAAGATGAAAAGTTAATTATGTAGATGGATAGGAGGAGGTAAAGATGGATGAATAGAGCAGAAGTTCCTTTGGTGAATGGGCAGCAGTACAGAGAGAAGAGGTTTGCTGGCACAAACCGGACTCACTCTCCTCTGCATGACCACGGTAAAATGCATTTTCATATTCTCTCTCAAAGGTTGTATATCTGCTACTTCATCGGCCAGTGTCTCCAGGGTAGTTGGTGCAGCAGGATGACACACTGGGGAGGTGGCACTTGCACTGTGAATGAGTGTGCACTTCTGTCTGTGTGTGTGCGTGTGCGTGTGTGTGTGTGTGTGTGTGCTAGCTCGGCGCTGCCTCCGACTGATGAGAGTTGCAGAGCCCAAAAATAGGTCAGGAAACCTTGAAACTGTTGTCAAGGACATTGTTACGGCTGACACCGTCACACATCTGCAGCTCCAGATCAGAAAGGCTCTCTAACTGTTATCATCTGCTGTGAGACTCTTTTTATCGTTAGCTTTGAAACCACACTTATGGCTTATACAAAATGTTTAGCTTATTAGGTAAAATGTTGTTCGGCAGTCACTCTTCACACCGTTCTTTTGTATTCTATTCCTTTCACCTCTCAGAGCATGTAGCTACTAATACAAGCAGCCTTTGCGTGTATAAAAAGCAATTAAAGACCTTAAACCACCACATGATCAAATACCAAACCTTGCCCAGGACAGATGCTCACTGCACAGGAAAAACTCATGTAAACACTGCAGTGATGCAGACAGACCAGTCTAATCCAGCCGTGAGACGATCAACTACCCACTCTCACTCTCACACGCATTAAAACACACACTCTTGAAATATAAGTGGGCAAAAAAGAACATTGCTGACGAAACCCCACAAACGGATCATTTCCATTTTGAATGTGGGAGGAGCGGCTAAAAAGGTACACACATAACCTCCTCATCTGATCCTATCCACCCTGTAATTATTTAGTGGCAGCATTTTCCATTATCTCTCACTAACTCATCACAGAGAGAGTAGATGATAAATGGACTGAAGAAAAGGAGGGAAGAGGGTTAAGGTTGAGAGAGAAAGCATTTGTTCCCTTTGAAATGGTGAAATGCCTCATTGTATACAATACTAGGTATACCATTACTTCTACATATTGTATATTGATTTACTTAAGCAATTAACTGTGGTCACAAGTGTAAAAATGGTCAATTTTATGAAAAGGAAGTTAAAATGGCAACAAGCCTTTGTAGAGGCAGTGGTCAGAAATCAGTCATGGTCTACCAAGGTGCGTGTGTGTGTGTGTATATAAGTCATTGGGCGGTAGAGGGAGGACAGACAGATTGCTCAGTTTATTTTCCTCCTCGTTAAGTCTCGCTCCCACCATCACCCTCCATCAGTCTCACACACAACCGCACACACTGTCGTCCATCAGCCATCATCTTGCTCGACTCGCATTAGCTCTCGCCCACTCCATTTCTCCTCCAGGACACTTCTTCAAAGCACCGTCGAGACCCCCGAGTTGAAGCGAAGCGAAGCAAACACTCGTCAGTCTTCATTAAAAAGCCCTTAAATGGACGCCTCTCTCACACATGCATACCCACACACACGCAAGTGCACCAGAGGGAACTCATTCGGATTCAAAAACACACAATGGAATGAAAGCACACACTTAAAAGTTGCCTCCCTTAAGCTAACTTGCACACATTGAGGACCGAGATGGACATGGACAGA